GAACCGATGATGGGCTTTTTAGTTTTCTATCTCAGTATTTTCTTATGTGGGTCCTCTCTTTATCATCGAAGTGATGAAGTTAAGTGTTCAACTCACTATAGAGTAATGTTGTTTTCAGGTGACGTTCATCACTCTCCTTTAGAATATTCTTTCCATCTTATGTTTAAATTAGGCCGTCTTTTCGAAATTGTTGTCGCATAATAGGCTATTGTATCTGGCTTCCATTATAGAATGTCTAACGCTACTGCTGTCAACGGCGACGAAAGTACTTTGCGTAACCCTAACAATCCCGATGATAGCCTTTGTACAGACGAGTTTGAGATAATCTCCAGCGACACACTCGGTTTATATTTTTTTGTAATATATTTAATCAATTGATCTAATCAATGTTTCCTTCTAGATAATGGAGCGCAGGAAAATGGGAATGATACGGTCTCTCATTGGTCCATACAACATAGCATCAATGTTGAATCTCTTGTACCATCGAACAGCATCAATATTGAATCTCTTGTGCCACTGAATAATCTTGCTTCCTTACTGTGCACGACGCACAGCGATGCGCACTCTGCGTCGAAGTAAGTGGTTGAAATATTGTTTTTTCCTGGCTGAAGTTTTTTTTATTTTGAGCATCAAATTAGGTAATTCTCCTGCTATTCTCAACACTCTTCTGGTCAGCTTTGTCATGTTCGCTATCAGTCACTGTTAATGACTGTGAAAGTTGAATTAATGGCATCAGTGAGCAGTGAAAACCACGATAGTCAAAATCTATCCAAAAGCTTTTCTTAACTACTTTCTAAACAATAAGAATATCGTTGTTGGGTGTTGGGAAATTTTGTGGTTATAGTCTTGATAGTGAATTTTTTGCCTCAGAGTAATTTCACACAAGCTAAAGCTTTCCCGATTTGTTATTTAGTGACTTTGTAGCCCTATACTCCAGACTAATAATCTGCGCACAAGAGTTTCTCAACATGTTGATTACGATGATGGTCAGAGAAATTCCTGGGTGCTAGAAGGCAATGACAGCGGTTGCCGATAC